TATAAATGTTTTTCACATAGTTTTTTAGGCTGTTATCAGACTGTTATTCAGCTTGATTCTGTCACCTTTAAAAATATTGAAATATTGAAAGTTTTAAAAACAGTTTAGATATTCACTAATGGAATAAAACTGTGGTCTTTCAAATAGGAGTTGATGCAAAGAACAATAGTCTTTGTTTATCTGTAGAAAAATCGAATACATGAAATGCTTACTTTAAATCTGGATTGAAATACATGGTGATATCATTATCTAGCTCTTTCTTTTTATTACATAAAGTATAAGCTTTATGTCCCTGATTAACCCAATTACCCAATCCCTTCTTCCTGAGTTTAATAATGGTCTCAGTTCATGTAGAACAGTGTTACTCTATCTCAGTCACTTTAATATGTATGGACTTCAACCCCAGCCAGGAGACTACAGAATTCTGGGAGTTGAAGTCCACGCATTACCAAGGTTGAGAAACAGAGTGCATGTACTATAAAACAGTACAGAGTTGCAGAGTATATGTAATATAGAACATCATAAACTATTACCTCTTTTAGACTCTCGCTAATTCCCCAACAATTAGTTCCTCTACTCATCTTCCAAACCAACTTTCTCCAATCACCATCCTTTTAGATTTATTGGGGTCTTAGAATTCTCAGCAAGTACAATAAAATATATTATCAGGTCACCATTGCAAATCTTGTCATGTTCTTTCTTAACATATTTGGAGAACAGGAAATTCGGAAACACTGTTCTTAGAGGTTCCATCATTGTAGACTATACAATAGCTTTATCATTGCACTGACAAATTGTGTGTGTGTGTGTGTGTGTGTGTGTGTAATGGCATACACACACCCACACCCCATGGTATCAAAATGCAAAAAATTGTCCCAGTTGCAGAAAAATACCCATATCTGTACCTAATAAAACCCTATATCTTTTAACCTTCAAATGACCTAACCTAATAGAAATCTAATCTTTCTACTCTGTATAGAAAGTTCTTTGCAGTCCCAGTAGGCCAATTTAGAGGCATACCGATTAAAAAATGAATTAGGTGGGAAAGGTAAAACAGTAGCCATCCATATGGAATGTATTTCCCCTTCTTTTTCTTGCTGCTTTCCTGAAAAATGTTTGTTAATTGACCTCCAGAGCAGTCAAGAATAATTGTTCTTCACAATGATGGGAAAAGATCGTCTGATAACATAGAATTACAGAGATTCTGACCTTCTCTGTCTGACTTTTTTTTTTCAGCCTCAAGAAAAGGGAATCAAGGATAGCCAGAGTATTTTTCCTTGGTTTTATTCTTTGGATGATGATGGTAGTGGTGGTGGTGGTGGTGGTAGTAGTAGTAGTAGTAGTAGTAGTAGTAGTAGTAGTAGTAGTAGCAAAGAATGGGCTTCTTTTTGGAATTGTTTCTAGCACAGCACATACTTGCCCATCTCTCCCACAGCCTGGTTTCGAACAGCCCATGGCCTGGTAGTGCATTATGGCCCACGGTTTGTGGACTGCTGCCTTAGCATTAACTTAATCTAGCTTCAATGGTATGACAGCTGTGCAGATGTATAGAAGGAAGGATAAGGAGCCTTATTTATGGAGGAAAGTATGTACAATACTTCATTTGTCAAATTTTATTAACTTGTATCTATTCCCACAAACATGATGGGCTTTGCCAATTCTGTAGCACTCCATGTAGTATTCTGAGAAAAACATTTCACCATCAATAACAGGAAAGCCTGGACAACATGATTGTTCTTAAATTTATATTTCTGCTTCTGTTTTTTTCTTTCTAAGGTTGAAGTGTTAGTGTGAAAAGAAAGGAGCAGAAAGAATCTTGTATGGATTTGGTTTTAGGGACAAAGTCATGAGATTCTGGAAAGAACATTAATGCAGAGAGAACAAAACAAACCATTGTTTATGTGGAAGTAAAAAAAGTAAATTCTGAAGATGGGATGTGTCTGCTTTCACGCTTTCCTCTTATGGGTAATGAAATATTTTTCTCTGAGTACCACATAGGAACTCTCATATAAAACTATTAATTCAGAGATTAATCAGACCATAGAAAATTGTATAAACACTTTTCCCTATTTATTTCTAATCTAACTGTTGCAATGTGGCACTTAAATCACTGTGTAAATATGTTGGCTACATGAACATCCTGCAAGGAGATTAGTAGCTCATAACCTTCATGTTATATCTCAGAATGTAGTTGATGTTCCAGCTTGTTTTCCAGACTTTGATGAGCTTCATTAATTATACTAAAAAAAGAAAGGTGTGTGTAGCTGGAGAGAAATCCATACATACAGCTCAACATGAATAGGAGTAATTAGACAACTGGCAGAGTGTTAAATTGGAGGTCTAGGGAGAAAAACTAAGAAATCTGCAGAATTTCTCCATGCCCAGCAACCAGTGGAATTTGTATAATCTTCGACTGAATACAATTTCTCTGGAGTGCAGTGGTCATGACTCATTTCCTAGCTTAAAAGCCTAAAGTAAGTACTATTTGCTTTGCCAAATATCTGCTACCAATTCTGTTAGAAATGTAACCCATATAAGATATACACTTGAATGTTTTGAGTGTTACTTACTCCCTCTTCTATTCTAATGATATCAGACAAATTTTATAATTGTAATTTGTTTTTTAAAATAAATACTAGAAAACAAGGAATCATGTTCCTTACAACTGCTTAACCAATGCTTTGATAGAAAGCATGCTGAAAAATATTGGTGTATAGAATATCTTGAACACTCTAAAGACCCATATATATTGGCACATGGATGTTGAAACAACGGGGCTGCTATTGAACTTGAGTTGTCTATTATTGTTGTTTCTTGCCAGAACAAATTATGGGTGGTAGGTCTGCTTGAAATGGTGAACATAAACATGAAGGTAGAAGGTTCAAAGATTTATTGAGCAGAGCAGAGCAAAACAGTAACACTTTATAACAAGGAATAATACAAACGAATACAGAAATATCCAGAGACGAGGAAACAAAAAAGGCAGCATTGAATAAAAGATTGTGAATGTCAAATAAACAATCATATTTTTCCAACTGTTGAGAACCCTGCCTCATGAGAGACAACGGCAATGTTTCTCAACCTCAGCAACTTTAAGATATGTGAACTTCAATTCCCAGAATTCCTGAGCCAACATACAGACTAGGATTCAACATATTTACCAGGCATCAGAGAACTACATTGAAGTTCATCCCTAAGATGGGTTTCAAAATGTTTGTAACATTCTGTTGCAATACTT